AGAATGGAATCTCGCGAATGAGGGCATGGCTGGGTAACTGGAGCGGGAAATGGGGACACAGAACGGAACAACAGTTCCTTCCAAGCTTGTTTGCTCTCCCTACAAGTAACACTGTTAGGGGTTTTGAAAGGACAGCACAAGCACAACATTAGTACCTCCACTGAAACAACAACATAGGGCTCAATTCCCAACTGCTCAGTCATTCGCATTTCCAGCCCATCAAGTATTCATTCTGAACCATGGACAAAGTAACCAGTGTTCAGCTTCCTGCAACATTTGTACAATTAATTATTCTTTAAAGCCCAAACAAAACATATCCAGCAGCAGACAACGGAGGTTCCTTTTTCCCAGCAATATGATGCGGATGCAACTGGGGAGGGGTGAGGTATCTGCCCCGGGGGTGGGAATCCATCGGACCCCCTTGATGGAGCTCCTTGGGGCATTCCCAGGAAGAGTCTTGGGGCATTCCCAGGAGCTGCCTGTGCTGCTACATGTGCCACGGCAGGGAAGCTGCCAGCTTGTTCCACTAGCGTTTGCAGACTTCCTTTCAGCCTGGCTTGCTTTTGAAGACTGGGCAAAGCACCAGAGGAAGTCTGCAAATGCTAGAGGAAGGACTCTGCACGATTTCATCCCAATCCTAGATGGAGCAGCATAAATCCTTTGGATTTATGAAGAAATCACGAAGGAGAAAAACTCTAAGCATGTGCAGAGTGTATTTCCTTCCTGGCCATTGAACTTCAGCCTGCTTCCTGCGCATCTGCAATGAAGAAGACTATCCGTCCTCGGGCTTTACTCCTGGCATCTCTCTTTAAAACTCAGGCATGGTTTATTGTCACTATTTGTGTTTCACTTAGACCTGTATACTTTTTTATTTCTTTGTATCTATGGCCTAAAAGTTTTTCTCTCAAACAGTTCTGGTACTAAAGAAAAGTGACTTCCCAGATGAGTCAGTTATGCCTCTTGCCACCTTTATTTTAACTTCATTGGTCATGGGTTTTAATTAAATTTAAACAAACATTTATATCCCATCCTTTCTGACAAACGGCTCAGGAAGGCTTACAACAATTTAAAATACTACAATAATACAATGATAAAACAGCAGATATTAAATCTATATAAAACAGCACATCATAAAACTAAGGGAAAGAGAGAAGGCGGAAAAGAATAGAAAATGCGACTGTGGAAAAAAGATCTTAAAACATCTAAAAACCTTAATTATTAAAATGATGGTTGAATAAAAAGGTCTTTACTTGGCACCAGAAAGAGTATAAAGTCGGTGCCAGGTGGACCTCTCTGGGAGCGCATTCCACAGTCTGGGCACCACTTGCAGAGAAGGCCCTCCTCTGGGTAGACACCCTCTGTACCTCCTTCAAAGAGGGTTTCCAGAGCAGGGCCTTTCTCGCCGATCTCAAGGGGCATGAGGGAATACAGGGAAGGAGGCAGTCCTTCAGGTTTTCTGGTCCCAAGCCATTTAGAGCTTTATAGGTTAAAACCAGCACCTTGAATTGTGCCTGGTGCTCATATTCAACTGGGTTGAATATGAGTTGTTGAAATGTGGATTGTTGTTGAACTGGGGTTAGCATGTTGTCTGAACCCAGCTGGAAGAAAAAACGGTGGTGAGCCACACAGAGTTCACAGTCTGACAGGACCCCATGGGTTCTCTTTATGGGTTGTACATGGTTATCAAGCCATGGTTTATTGGCCCAGTTGGGTTCAGGCTAACAGGTTAAGTTTCGGCACAAGCCATGGGACAATGACAACCCACTCTTGATCAGGAATGCAAAGATCAGAAGCTGGCTGTCTTGCACTTACCAGAGCAACTTTCCATGCTAGGAAGCAAGCCAAGATCAAATCTGGAAACACTCAGGAATGCTAAGGGACCTGCTCTAATTCTGGGTGCAAAGTATGAAATTCTTCACATGAAGAACTTGCTTGGTGTGCTTCCTGCTGCAAACCCACATGAATACTTGGCAGAGAGAAAGGGAGCCAGAGTCTGGGTAGCTGAGCCCAGTTAATAGGATGGATTCCCACCCCTGAACTGCATTCCTCCCACGTTGCTTTTCTTGACCCACACTCAACCCTTGGGCTATTGAGTCGCCTGAACAAATCCGGTACAAGGATGTCTTCTATGTTTTGATGTAAGCGGTCTGTGACAGCAGGATTCCACCAGAGGACCCTAAACGGCAAAGAAGCAAAACAGAAAGAAATGGAGAGTGGGGTGGGGGAAGGAATTCTCTTACTTATTTATATACTGCCTTATCTATCTCATAAAAGCCATCCATCTGGAGCAATGCAGCACACTGAAACAGATTCCGACGACGGAAACCCCACGACAGTCAAAATGAGAATAAGAAAAGGAAATAAAACCAAGCCATTAAAAAGGACACCATTGCACACACTGCTGCGAACAGCAGCTCCAGCCCGCTTTAAGTCCCCAGTGAACGATGCCCTTCTCCAGTTGTGGAAGCCAGCGCGAGGCAACGAAGCCCGCAGCTGGCCGGAGGCGGCTCCCTGGGCCCGGATCCCTGGCCGTGCGGGAAAAGGACTCATTTCCCGATCTGTTTAGGAACTGACAGGCCGGCTCAGATGGCGTAGGCGCCCCGATGGCGTAGGCTCCAAGGCAAGCACCCTCCCCGAGAGGCATTTCCCTCGCTCCTCCCCTGCTTCGAAGTCGCGGAGAGACCGACTTCAGAGTAGGAGGGACTCGCCCGAGAAAAGAAGAGCGCCGCCGAGCACCCGACTTCCAACCTGGTTAAACAAGGGTGAGTAGCTCTCCAGCTGGCTAACTCTGGTTAAATTTGCTAGAGCGTTTATAGCTGCCCTCTTGCAGATCTCACGGCCACACTGCTCAACTCGCGTTCATTTTTAAGCTGCTGCGAAAGGACGCACGGTTGGGAAGGGGCTCCTCTGTAAAGCACGTGCGCTTAGGATTGGGGTGCCGGAAAAGAGGGGGTTTATGATTTGAATAAGGAGCCCCAGAAGCACTGAAGGCAAATGGGATTGCCCGGTTTTCACTCCGAGCCTGTCCTATTTCATTGCATAATGCAACAGAGAAAACATCTGTGGCATTTTTGTTTTGCAGAGAGCGCTTTGCAATTCGAAACCGCCCAGACAGCTTCGGCAGTGGGACGCGATAGAAATGAAATTAATTATAATAATAAGACAGCCGTGCAAGCCAACTTTCAGTTGGCTTCTAGCAGCATACCCCCTCTGCCTGCACTTTATCTTTCCGAGCAGTTTTAATCATGCGCTGTGATTCTACGACATGGAGAGTAGGGGTTGTTTAGATTCACAGGAGACCAGGCGATTCTGAAACTGGTCACGAAGGAAGAGGCTTCTCAGCCAAGGGCCGTTCCATTTATATCCAGAGGGAATGGAAAGCCAGGAAAGAGCATGACCTGAAGTACGAAAATGAATTATGGACTTGCTGTCAAGATTCCTTTTGTTTGGATTTTAAAATTTTACCTGCCTAGCTGCTTCTAAATCCTGGGGAAGGAGAAAAATCCTACTTTTTCATTGAAATGTATGGCATAAGAGAAAAAAAAATCAAAAAAGTTGGCATCATCCTATTGCATGGTCTGGCATGGTAATGTCAAAACTGGCTATATTAGACAGTGCACATTCCTTATGCATTGGCAGATCTGCATATTTTGAGAGACAGACTTCAGAACGTGGATTTGCCACAGATCTCCTGCTACTGATCAAGGCATAAGATAATTCTTTTCATTAGCTGTGATTTTGTGAACACTGCAGAAAGCTGGCTCTCGACATTTCATGCCAAATCTTATTGTGTTCTTGCCAGTTGAGTGTGGAAGCTTTACAGAACATCCACCTGACAGAATCCACTGGTTTCCCACTTTATGTGGCTTCTGGACACACTGAGTGTTTGAAGCTTTCACATTATTGTGAATTGACCGTCTCCCAGGTGGCCCCATTTTGTATGAAATGGGCCTCCGTAATTCTCTGGGAGGTTCTCCTTGACTTCATATGAATTATCCTTATCTGAGGGCTGGGCTGGGCTGGTGGCTTTCTGGAACTACACAGCAGAACATTAGTCAAGAGGGAACCAGAAAGGTGGAGGCAGGTTCTCAGCATCTGTTGGTGGCTGGTCCATCCAGCACTGTCAAATAAAAGGTTGAACGGGTTCAGACAACACAGTAACACAAGGGCTGAGTATGGGTTCAAGTGCTGATTGTCCCTGGCCCCTGAGTTATGGTTGAAATACGGATTATTGTGTTCTATGAACTCAGCTGAGGTCACAAACTATGGTGAGCAACCTGTGGTTCATAACCCAACAACAAACCATGGATTCTCTTCATGGGCTATCCGTGGGCTATCCGTGGGATAACCTGCATTTCAACAACAATCCATGGCTCAAAAACAATGCTTGCTCAATCCTGGTTGAGTTGTCTGAACCCTGCTGGGGGCTTGATCCCTAACAACCTTTCATAGGATACATTTACTCTTCCAACATCAGTCTCATTTTGCTCAATTCCTGCTTGTGGAATTATTAATATGAAATAAAAGTAGCAGTACTACTTATTGTGTAACAGAATAGTTGGTTGTACTTGCAGCCTGTAAGAGGGAAGTTCATCAGTCTAGCAGAAGAGTTGTAACACCTTTTGATGCTTATGGTGGAGACTTTCAAGCAGGCAGAAAGATATACCCATTTCCACCAGCCTGAATCCTTCCCTGGCAGTACTATGCAACATTAAAGGGCCAGCTTTGGAATTGAGTGCAAGCCCTGAATCTGAGCACTTTCTTGGTGTATATTGAGAGATGGGAAGTGAGATTCCTGGAGGGTATTTATTTATTAGATTGATATCCTGCCTTTTTTCTTACAAAGAACTCAAAAGTGGCTTACATCATTCTCCTCCTCCTGCTCTCAGCCTTATCCCCATAAGGGAGGATAAGGTTGGGCTGAGAGCCTGTGACTGGCCCAAAGCCACCCAGTTGGCTCCATGGCTGAGTGGGGACTAGAACCCAGGTCGCCTGAGTCCCAGTCCCGCACTCTTAACCACTATGCCACACCAAGAAACTGGGAATTGGTCATCCTTCATTCCTGAAGCCACTTAAAATTAAGCAGGGGATGGAATTCTCTAATTCCTACCACATGATAGTTTCTTAATCTCTTGCACACTTCTATATCCTGTTAGGACCTCAAGCAAGGTGTTTCTCTACTCTCCTCAGTTTTCTTTATCTTCCATTGACATCCTGAACTCTAAGTCTTCCAAGTGCAGTCTATCTTCTATGGATGCTGCAAAGTCCACATGTTCTCATCCAGCTATTTGATGGTTTCCTTTTTTTTCCTTTGAATTTGCAAGCTGTTATATTTGTGTATATTTGGGGAACCTCTGAAGTATCTAGAAACCCCCACATTATTTTGAGTGCCCCTGTTTTGCTTTCCTGCTTTATTACATGTGTTTGGTATTCAAGGAAATGATGCTGACAATTTAGCACCACTGATCTACATGGAAATTTCCAGATTCAAATGGGTGATAATCAACCAAAACAAAACAAGCCACTCCCTTGAACTGAGGAGCTTAGGATTTAAAGAAAGGAGAGTATTACAGGGGACATATATCAACAAAACATGTTTGAGTTATGCAGTTGAATGCGTATAGCTAAATAGATTATTGGATGATGCTCTGACATAGGGGCTCTCTACTACAGTATTGTTTTGTTTTTCTGTTGGTTTACCCTCATGGGCTTTCTGCATCCCTTTGTCTCTTTAGAATACATATACAAACACAATTTATTGTACAGGATATTATAGTCCAATATTTACATCAGTTAACAAAAGAACCTGGAAACTGAACACAATATCTTCAAATCAAAATAAATTAAGTTTCATTAAAAAAATTGGGCAGAGCAGAAATGGAAGATTTCTGCTATTGTCTTTCTGCCATCTGGCAATAGAAAAAATAAGTAGCTTTTTTAAATGGTTGAACTCTCAAAATAGCTAACAATATACATGGTAGAATGAAACCCCATCTCTCTCTGCTCTGTTGTGGTCAATCTGTTCCGTGATTTGTCCCTAGAAATCTCAGTGGAGTTGTATTTTCTCTCCTAGGCTAAAAACAGCATGCAAGGGTGCTTCATGGTTTGAGCAATCTGGAAGAAATTAGTGTTTTTTGTCCCTCTACTGTAGGCACATGTGTTTTTTAAAGCAAGGCTGCTGTTTATGTGCTATTTGTCAGCATTTGCCAGTTAAATTACAGTGGAAAGTTGTCCAGACGGCCCCTGCTGCTTAAGTATCTCCCTACGTTTTTATTCCATGATGTAAACATGGGTCACATTTGCCAAGAAAGCGTGATCGTGAGTGAGTACAAATGTGAAACCAGGGCCAGAAAATCACATGGGTGGGTGTAATTTTGCATGCTCTGAGCACATTGGAGTCTTAAGGTTCACAGCTCGATCTCTGTTGTCTTAAGCAGCGAGTATTCAAGGGTTACATAAGATAAAGCTATAAGATAAGATGTTATAATACAAAATAATAATAAGCAGGAAAAGGCAGGTTAAAGCTTAAAGCAAAAACTGAAGCCAGGGAAACCAGAACAGCAAGACATGGGCCAGCCAAGTGCTTACCCAGAGAAAGAAGCCTTTGTGAGCTTTGTGACCCACATGTTTGGAAGAGCTGTGAACAGACGGTCCTCCATTTCAAAGGCCATCCAGGCCAGTTAAGATAAAAGGTGACAAGAGTGGTCTTTGTGAAGATGCAGATTTTACACTGAGTGTTAGGACCTTGAAGCAGCCAGAGCAGGATTTCTCAAACTGTGGCTTGGGACCCCTCAGTGGGTATTAGCCTACCTTCAGGGGGGCTTGGGGGGCTGCAGAGTTCCCATTGCCACTTTGGTGGCCCTGCTGTGACTCTGTGGAGGAGGAGGAAAACAGGATGGAGTAAGCAGTTTTCTCTACTTGGAGCAGCGGACCCTAACCTGCTAGGTTCAGTGAGTCCATTTGGAATCTTGAGAGTGCCATGGACACTCTCACAAAATGACCGCCATGGAAGGACTCACTCATTTATGAAGTGGCTGTCAAGGTAGGCATGGACTGTCACAAAATGCTAGCTCAAGAATGTAAGTACAAAATGGAGAGGCAGGGTATGAATGGCGAATGGGAGCTCCAAAATGGAAAGCCATCAGAGTCTGTGGTGGGATGTGGGTGACCAGAGACAAGACAAGACAAGACAAGACAAGACAAGACAAGACAAGAGGGACCAGGAACAGGGCAACTGAACTTCAGGAAAGACAGACTCCAAAAAGTGGGTTTAATGGAAAGTCCAGAACATAGTCCTGGTACAGGCTGAGATCAAGAACCGGCAAAATAAGAACATGGTAAAGAACAAGCCAAGGGTCCAGAATCAGGAGGACAAACTGAGGTGCAGGTGCCTTGGACAGGAGGACAGGGCAGGAGGCACAGCACGGCAGCATCCATGGCCAGGCAAGATGCGTGAGACCACGGGGACCAGATGCAGTGAGGGCCGGGCACGGCGCAGGGGCTGGAGCACAGCTCGCAGGGAGCCCTGCGTTACTGAGGCAGCTTGGCAAGGCAGGCACAACAGCACGGCAACCTGAAGGGGCAGGGTGCGGGCGCAGCAGCAAACAGGCAGGCCCTGCAGTGTGGAGGCAACACAGCAAGGCAGAAGATAGCGGAGGGGCAGCCAGGCAAGTGCGGGCACTGCAGCTGCAGAAAGGCCTGAGTTGATGACTTCTGGAGGGAAGAGCTTGCTCTTGTATAGCTCTTCCCCCAGGACTTCTAGCTGGCACTTGTTAGCAGACTGAGAGGTCCGACAGGGCCTGGAACAGATCCTGCAAACGCAGTGGCAGGTCTGGTCCAGGTCACCAGAACCTGACAAAATGACACGTTGGAACTCAAATACAGTGGTTTAAGATGTTAAGAAACTGTTTTAATTTTTAGTATAATTTTTATGATTTAGACTAATACATTTCTATTTCTATTTGTCATCCATTCATTATGTTAATCTATAATTATGTATAATCTATATTCATCTGTCATTATAATCTATTGTTTATATTATCAATTGCATTTTATTAATTCTTGCTCACTGCACAGAGAGCTTCAGCTGTGGACTGAGATCGCAATTCTATAAATAAATAAAAGATGACACTTTGTTTTGTATCATAGGAGTCTCCCAATAAAACAGAAACAATTTAAAATCATTTTATGCAGGGAACACAGTGGATACCAAGGGAGATTTCCATACTATGATGGAATCCAGACACACTGTCTCTGGATCAGCAGTTTTTTTCGCCAAAATGGGTAGGCTGAGCGAGGATCTTTGCAGAGCCAATGTCTGTGCTCAGCTTGAAGAAAGCTGAATCATGGAACTCCTTGCTACAGGGAAATAGGTGTGGCAAAGATTTGAGCTATTTTCCATGAGGGATTAGATAGCTGTATAAACCAATTCCCATCAGTGGCACACTTCACCTCCACCTGTCACCGTTTTATGTCTGGCTGACCTCAGTCCTTTTCAGCCATCCCAAGCAGGTAGAAAGTAGAAAGGCAGAAAGTCTGAGAAACCCTGATCTAGAAATATCAGCCAACTTGAAAGAACAGCAATTATGTGAACTTGTTGCATTGCGTTGTGTTGCATCACATTGCATTTTAATTAATCAGTTAATTAAAATTTCAAACTGCTCAAGAGCTGAAGTTCCCTAAATGGCTGACACCATGTTTTGAAGATGTAGACTACCGTGATATTCCTCTATAAGTACCTCAAAGGCTGTCACAAAGAGGAAGATCAAGTTCTCTTCTTGCTAATGCCAGAGTGTAGGACATGGGATAATTGATTCAAGTTGCAACAACCCAGATTCAGGCTGGACATCAGGAAGAACTTCCTCACTGTCGGAGCAAGGCGACAGTGGAGCAAGCTGCCTAGAGAGGTGGTGGGTTCTCCCACACTGGAGATGTTTAAAAAGAAACTGGGCAGCCATCTGAGTGGGATGGTGTAACGTGGCGTCCTGCAACAGCAGGGGGTTGGACTGGATGGCCTTCATGGCCCCTTCCAACTCTTCTATGATTCTGGGTTGGAAGTGTACATTATATGGTGGGTAATGGAAAACTCCACTGTGGAGTTTTGGCTTTCAAGGGTAGAGTTCTCGCCCTTTCTCCTCTAATATTCTGCAGCTAATCGTCTCTGGAGCAGCAGAGCCCCCTTTGCAGTGTGGGCAGGCTGCATTTATTTATTTATTATTTATTAAAACATTTTTTATGCCACCCCATTCGCCGAAGCCTCGGGGCGGCTTGCATGGTGACTAGAGCACAGCTGGGGAGAGACAGGCCCTGAGTTTGAGCAAATGCTTGGTAGACTGTGTAACCTGGCAATCATGCAGTGTTCTGGGTGACCAAATAGACTTACGTGATTTCCTGGTCACACCCTTGAGTAAGGTGCTCCATGGGATGGTTCTGAGGTTGCTGAAGCCCAAGATCAGTTCTTTGGCGCTCTCGGAGGCTCTCGGTGATGCCTCTCTACACTTTTGAGGATCTAGTGGCTGGACTCCAACACTTCCCATCTATGACTGCACCCAACAAGGTTCCTCACCTAGCTGTGGCTCATGGGGTGGATTTTAGCGAATGCAGCCTGGTGACATGGACAAGCTGCTTGCAGTTATGTGGCCATCTATGCCTTCTCTCAGTCCTTGTCGTTCTTGGCAAACTAACAAGAACAGGAGGAGGATGGGGGTGGGGAGTCCTGGGAGTGGCTAATGGGCTTTTCCATGAAGAAGTGTTATCCGGTATGCTGAAGAAGGTGAGAATGCAACCACGCTTGAAGAACGGCACCCTGGGACTTGGAGGTGTATGAGAATTTATATTTGGTCATAAAGCACATGATCAAAGCCCTAAACAGAACTGTGAGCACATGTCTGCTGAAAATGTTTGCAATTTGCCAGACAAGTGCAGGCCTTTGATTCATGCAACTTTCCCAGGTCAATTCTGTGCACATTTCCTGCTGTCCGAATCTGCCCTGCTTTAGCCTGTGGAGGAAAGTTGCAAAAACTGGGGGAATTTTACCTTAGCTCACTGCTCCATTTGTATCATTTTCCTATTCCAGCAGAGCGAGCAGGATTTCGAATGAGAACAAGAAGTAGGCACGAGACAAGGTTTCTGTGTCTGCAGAATCTCAGCCATCTCAGACACGGCTTGTCTATTCACCTCTTGGTGGACCCAAGGATTTGGGACACCCTGTCATTCACTTTTAGGGAAGGGAAGAGAGACGCATGTTGTGGCACAACTGCAAACATTCTGGGATGAAACCTATTATCTAGATTTGTTGCAGTCTGGATTGATGCCTGGTTTGCAGATTGAATTGGCCTTATTTGTCCTGTTGTTTAATGAGAGATACACAGAGACTGCAGTGTTGATCTCCTCGTGACTTTCACTACCATCAGCCAGGGTTTCTTCCTCAGCTTTCTCTGCAGGATGGGCATTGGATACAGTATACCTCAGTGGTTCTTTTCTTACCTGCAAGATTAATTTCAGAATGCTGTTTGGAGTTTCCAGTGACTTGTGCTATGGGGTGCCACAGGGCACTATTTTGTCCCATATGTATGTAACGCTAAGGAACACCCATGTAGGTATCTGGAGCTAGGTGTCATTAGGATGCAGATGACACCCTGCTGTATGTCTGTAGAACTTGTGAATCAGATGGGGCTCTGGGACTGTCTTCTGAGCTTGGTAAATGGCTGTCAGGTCAGCACAATACGTTGGTTTTGGATGGAGGTGCACCACTGAAGGAATAGGTGCAACAGTGAGGGTGTTCCAAGGTTTGTTCTAGTTACTGCAGTGCTCAAGAGACCCCGGTGGCTGGGTGTGCCTTTTTTCAGAGTGTGGGGGTTCCATTATGGTCTGAGTATGGTCTGAAGGCACATAAGGTGCCTACAATGTTGAAGCTAAGCAAATCTGAGACTGGTCTGAACTTGGATGGGAGACTACCTGGAAACCACAAGAGGCCACCTTGAGTTCTACAACTGAAGAAAGTTGGGATATAAATATAAATAAATAAATAGATTTGGAATCACCCCAGATCAAAGTATTGTCCGTCTAGCCTAGTAACTTCTGTGCTGGGTGTCACTGGTTCTCCAGAACTGATCTTTCACATCACATGTTACCAGATCTTATTGTATAGTGGAGGTTCTGAAGTGGGAACATTTTATAGTGAACACATGTTGCTCAGTATATGAGGAACTGTAGAACCGTTTTGGATCCTCCACTCCTCCGCTTTCTGATTTGCATTTCACAAGCTGTGCCTCCTCTGCTGCTGCGTTAACAAGATTCCTTCCCGATTTTGTTCTGCAGAAGAATCATGATGCGAAAGCACCTGGTGATCTGCTACATGGCACTGCTCCTGGTTCTGCTCCAGACTGATGCCGTGGCCTCCAGAAGAGGAAGCAAATCCCGCGGCAGCAGCAAACCCAGCAGGCCTTCACACAGCAGACCGGCTCATCAGCCAAGCCGACCGGCTCATCAGCCAAACAGGCCGGCAAATAAACCCAGCAAACCCGTACACAACAAACATGTCCAGCCTGCGCAAAATCCCCCACCATACAACCCTGCTTATGCCCCACAGAATCCCGCCAACCCCCCACGAAATCCCGGGAACCCCCCACCATACAACCCTGCTTATGCCCCACAGAATCC